CTGGTTTGATCTGGTTTGAACTGGTTTGATCTGGTTTGAACTGGTTTGATCTGGTTTGAACTGGTTTGATCTGGTTTGAACCGGGTCCGTCTGCAGGCCCAGACAGGAGGAAACGTCTGCAGGAGAGGAGCTGCAGAGGAGACGGTTCAGTCCAAGGAAAACCTCCAGGACAAATTCAAGTTCTGCACAAAAACAGAGCAAATATATTTAATTTAATCAGCCCAGGAATCAATGAGGGAAGATCTGGATCAAATGTTTCCTCCAATGATCCAGGAATAATTTCCTGGTCGATGATCTGAGGATGATCAGCTTCAAACTCTAAGAAAACAAGAATGAGAAGGACAGAAGTTATTAGGAGGATCAATATGCAGAATATTGATTGATCGGTTTAATCTGGAGCGATTTGAGGCCATTAAAGTTCAGCGTTCAGCTCTGACTGGAAACTTTGACCTGTTAAATGTCTGATGTGTTTCCTGTTTGTGTCTCAGTCAGCCAGAGGAACAACTCCGACTGCATCTACATCTGTGTGATGGCGGGGAAGACGGGTAGGTAAAGATCTGCTGCGGCGACTTCAGCCCAGAATCATCTGTCATGTTTTCCCCTCAGAGTCTTCAAGGCTGATGGAAGAAAACATTCTAGCTTCTCTAAAGGAAGTGAATCTTCCCGGAGCCTTTTGTCTGACTGAAGTGCGTTTTGTCCAGGCAGAGAGCTGAGCGGCGTCTGGGACGACGGCTCCGTCACGCCGCTCTTCAACCAGACGATTGTTGAAGGACCAAACAGAGGTTTGTTTAATCTGCTGGGAGATTTAATCCAGATGCACTAATTATAAACTAAATAAACCTGCTGTTCGTTTCAAACTTAACCGTTTAAATCCTGCATGTTTTGGTTCCCTCCCTACTGGTTGTACCAATCTCCTCAGAAAGTCAGTTTTCTGCTTAGGCCTCTAACGAGCATCAATCAGTGCAGGTGTGTAAAACCAGGGAGAGACTAAAACATGCAGGATGCCTTCAGGACCCACTTTGGACACCCCTGGTCTAAAGCAGAGATGATTGTCAAGACCAGAATTTATATTATTTGCATTTTTAGGAAGAGGCTTAAAATTTTATTTAAAAAAAAAAAACTTCCCAAATAATCTGTAATATTTGGGTTATGGATTAAAATCAGATGAACTGTTTTAGTTCGCTTTTCATATTCCTGAAGGTCTGAATAAAATGTAAAATAAAAAGAATAAATATGGAAAAATCTATTGTCTGCATTTCTAAATTTATTTCTGTTTTATTTACTGAAGTGAATCAAATATTTTAAATAGTTTTACAGAAAAACTGGTTTAATGTAAAAAGACTTGAACTGTGTGATTAAAGCTGTAAACTTATTATTTGTTAACATAATCTGTTGTAATATAATCTACATTTACTTTGTTTCCAAAGCTCTTTTAGCCAAACCGGCTAACGTAGCATCGTGCTAGCTTCTGACGCTGCCAGGTTTAGCTAACGCTAACAGACAGAAACTCAAACGTTTGTTTTCAGATTTATTCATCTGCTGTTGTATTTCCATAAACTTTAAACTTATTTCTGTTTGATCTTAATAATTTTTTGGTCTTTTTTATGCAGCAGTTTAGCAAACAATAGCAGCTTCATTTCAGTGTATTTTTTATCAAACAGGAACATTAACATTTGACCTTTGACCTTTCTGTCTTTCTTAAAGTGGCGAACCTCTCCTCCATTCGACTTCCTGTTGGTGAGCGGACTGCGTCTTAAAAACCAGATTATTCAGCTCAGATCCAGGTGTTAGTCTAGACCTCTGCTCAGGTTTGGTTCATTTCACTCAAAATGTGTTTCCAATAAATCTCCATTATTTGGTTTAAGCTCTGCAGCATCTGCATGTTTGATTCCTTCACTGCTGTAAAGAACTGGTGACAAAACGCAGCAAATTATTAGATTTAAATCCTGTGAAAATAAGAATCCATAACAGAAGATGTAAAATCCATAAATTGTAAGGAAACTTGTTGCCTTTATACAAACTAGTTGATACTTTTCAGAGCGTAAAGTTCAAAATCAGAAGACAAAACTAACTTAACTTTCAGCAAGAGATGTGAAAAGATGTCAATAATTACTGAATATTGATCAAACGTATTTGCTTGTCAGTTTGGTTCATTTAAAAAATGGGAAAAATGTCTGATAAGTGAAACAATCTGCCAGGTTAGTTTTGTCTTATTTCACATTTACTGCGATATTTACTCAAGAAACTGGACAAAAATCCTTTATTAGGATTTTGTTTTGCAGTGTAGCAGGTCATTTCCTGAAACTTTCATGGGAACTACAAAGTACTATCCTGGAAGTTAATATTTGCCTTTGCAGGACTTATAAAGTACTTTTACTGGTTGCTCTTAAGGAACACTTTCCCAAAACCTAATGATCATTTCCTGGAAGTTGTGAGGTAACAGTTCTGACAGCCGGGTCCATACTGAAAAGTAATTATTTGGTCTTTTAACTTTCTCATTATGCTTCTTTAATCTTAAATTTGATGCAGAAATCGTGACGGTTTCATTGCTCATGTTTCCTCCAGCTTCGCCACATCTGAGCAGAACATCGTCAACCACGTTAAAGGTCACGACCTCCGTGGCGGTCACACCGACGTCCTCCAGGCCTCCAGGCTTCACTACAGGACGTCCATCAAACATCAGGACGAGCCAAAGCGTCTCAACTCCACAGATCAGAACAGCAGGAGCAGCAGAGGCGACATCAGCTGGAACCACGAGACGACCAGCCAGCGCCGCTGCTGCAGCTATGCCTGCAATCACAGCCCGACCTCCTGCAGCTGCAGCCACATCAGCAGCTGCAGCCACAGCCACAGGCGTAACCGCAGCCGCTGCTGCAGCTCCGCCTGCGATCACAGCCCGACATCCTGCAGCCGCAGCAACATCAGCAGCTGCAGCCACAGCCACAGGCGTAACCGCAGCCGCTGCTGCAGCTCCGCCTGCAGTCACAGCCCGACATCCTGCAGCTGCAGCCACATCAGCAGCCGCTGCTGCAGCTGCAGCAACATCAGCAGCCACTGCTGCAGCTCCGCCTGCAGTCACACCCCGACCTCCTGCAGCAGCAGCCGCCCTGAAATCACCTGACAGTCTGGTGGAAACAAGCATTTCTCCAGCATCTCCTCTACAAACGACCTTCACTAGACCTTCAACCCTCCGACCAGCAGGACGACCTGCAGAGACGACGCCGAGCAGCAGAGACAGAACACCTGACCGGCCCAGAGAAACGGAGAGACCAGGTAAACACTGAGCAGGTGAACACTGAGCAGGTGAACACTGAGCAGGTTTCTGAGCAGGAAGGCGGTCAGCTGCTGATGAAAGGCCGGGTGTTTTATGATGGGAGGAAGTTCTTAAAATCAAACATTTTAAAGGTCAAAAGTCACTGAGTTGGGAACTACATACTTAGTCTTCAAGCTAAATATTTATTTTCCAAACTAAACATGTAGGTCCAAGCTAAATATTCAGCTAATATAAAAATGTTTTTCACAAAAATAATTTATGGATGGATGAACAGTCTTAAAAGTCTTAAACCTGCATATTAGCTAAACATTTAGCTTGGACATAAATATTTAGTTTCTAACCCAGAATGTAGTTAGCAACTGGAATAGTTAGCTTGGCTGCTAAATATTAGATTAAAAAAAATAAACATTTAGTTTTTAAAGTAAACATTTACCTCTGATTTAAACATTTAGTTGTGAACTAGATGTCTCCTTTTTAGCTTCCTGACTACAAGTTTCATTTAAAAGCTAAATGTTTAATATTTAGTTTGGCATTCTGACATGATGAAAATGTGACTTTGGAAAATGAAACCCACATTTTTCTTTATAACAGGTTAAATAAACAAAAATATGCTTTTAAATTTTAAAGATTCACAACCTGTTGGATTTCCAGGCAGCTGAAAATGTTTCCTGATTTATTTCTATATCAAGTTTTTCTCCAAATCAGAGCAACAACTAACGTTTCCCCTCTTCAGCATCTTTACTGCTGGAATAATGAGGAACTTATTCTGTAGTGATTTCCTGCAGCGCAGCGTCTCGTCTGACGTCAAACATTAAATACGTTTTTATTTGTTTTTCTTTGTCACATTGAGACAAAACAGACACATGACTCTGACTGATATGAACATGGAGGAGCAGCTTGGAGGCATCGTCATGCTGCTGTCCTCCAGCTGAGTGCCGGTACCGCTCGGCCCGCTTGACCCGAACAGAGCAGCATCAGAACCGTCCGCCGTCATTTCTGGGCTCATCGATGGCGTCTGATTCAGTTTGAGGCTGACGGGGGGCGAGGCGGGCGGAGGGGGTGGAGATGCTGCAGATGGAGGAGGCAGAGCCGGAGACGGTCGCCATGGCAACAGGAGGTGCAGCCCTTCTTTATGGAGGAGATTTAATACAGAACAGCACCAACGCTTAAAAAGGAATGATTAATAAATATCTGCATTTTTTATTAGCTTTACATAAATACCAATTGTTTCTTTATTTTAATTTTAAGGATTGGTGTTTTTATGCCAATTTTTCTTTAAAATCTCTTTTTTGTTTTATTTATCAAGGTAATTTATTTTAAAAATTCACTCTAAAGTTTTCTTTGTTTTTTTAATGTATTTAAAAGACAAAAGATTTAAAATTTTGGTCTAAATCTGGAGTTCAGGGTGAATCTTGGCTTGGTCCGCAGTTCTCATCAGAACCACTAGATGGCGGTAACATCACACTGCAAAAGCAGAAGAAAAACCGTCCATCCTCCTCCATCACCTTGACTTTTGCCTAGCAACAGGCGGAGCTGCAGCAGCCTGCGCAGTTTGTCTTTAGTTTGCAGTAAAATGAGCTTTTAGCTGCGCAAGTTGCTGCGGGCAGAGAAACACGAACCACGATCTGATGATCGATCGGCTGATCAATCGGCTCCGATCAGCTGGGAGGGAAAACTGAGAGGGTTGATCTGATCTGATCTGGGGAAAAGATGCAGTTCAGGTTTATATTCATGTTGATTCCTTTGTCAAAGGTTTGCAGGCGGATGATGGAGACGAACATGTTCAGAGGAATCTCTACCTGAATCACATGAACTGGTTCACAGCAGGAGGTGATTCAGTCCTTTGGTTCAGGTGTGTTGGACATCCAGGAGCTGTTGGACGTCACCACTGGGAGTACTGGTTGGACGGAGGGAGGGGTTCATTTCCACCAAATAATCTCAGAAATTTTCTAAGAAGAAAAATTTAATTTAATTTATGAGTTTGAAAAAAAATCAGAAATTTTAAGATTAATCTCAGAAATGTTTTAGGAATAAAACATTAAATGAGTTTATGAGTTTGAAAAGTTGCAAATTTTCTAAAAAAACGTTGAAATTTCTAAAAAAAAAAATAATAAAAAAAAGTCAGAATTGGTTTATTTTTCCTTTAGTAAATATCTGAGATTATTCTCAAAATTTCAGATTTGTTTTCTAGAAAACGTTTCTGCGTCATACATGTGTGTAAGTGGTTCCATCAGGCAGTGACCAAAGCATCTGACAGTCGGTGAGAACAGGCTGAGCAGAGGAAGCCTTACAGGTTGGATCAGCATCATGACCCAAAGCAAACCAAGTCAGAAAGTTAAAAATAAACGAAGGTTTTGGTGTGGCCTAGTCAAAGTCAGGGCTTTAAGCTGGAGTGAAATGATCTAAAGCAAACTGTTTATGTCCTAATATGCTCTAATGTACCTGAATAAAAACTTTTCTGAAAACCAGAGTGTCAAAATTTCTCCACAGAGATTTAAAGATTTATCAGTAATTAAAGATTTATCCTTAATTAATGGATAAAATAATTTAAAATAATTTACTGAGTTAATATTCACCTATACTTGATCTGAATTGTGCTCCTTTCTGCAGGGTGAGTTTCTAAATGTCTCCTCTAAATGTTGAAATCTGTTTTATGCTAATGAGGAGCAGTTGCAGCAGGAAACGTTTTCCTCCCAGAGATTAATTATGTTTGCTTGTATTTCACCTTTTGCTTGTTGGTTTCTAATCTGTAATCAGGCAGTAGATAGAGACGCAGACCTCAGGGACTGTGGATGTGCTGAGTCTCTGACTGAAGTGACCTTTGACCCTGTCTCTCGAGAGGCTGTCCCTGGAGGAGGCCGGAGCCTGGCGGCGAAGCGGAGACGCTCGGAGAGCTGAAGCTGCAGCCCTGCATCCTGGAGCTCTGCCGGTTCTTCTCCCAGTGCCTCTGCAGGCCGCTGAGCCCGACGCGCACCAAAAGGTTTCCACACGTTCCTGAGTGACTCCGCCGCCCCCTACTGGCCAGGCTGTCAAATTATCCATCATCTGGTCAGATAGAAGGACAGAAACATGCAGGTCTAAGGTTAAAAACCCTTTTTGGTTTACGACTAAAAGGAGTTTTTGCAGATATTCTGGAGTCGTTGCAGCTGGTTGAGCAACAAGAATAATAATCCCAACAAGGGAACCATAATCTGAGATAAACACACAGAGTATGTTTAGTGGCAAGTTGGATTCAGGAGAAACTGAGCAAGATTAACTGAAACGTTTCCAAAACGAGACTGGTTGTCTCAGATGGAGGTCGGAACGTAGGCGGACCGAGAACTGGAGAACTTTGGGTCAGTTTTCCTTCCAGAAAAAAGTTTGATGGTCTGGTTTAGTCTGGTTTGGTCTGGTTTGGTCTAGTCTGGTTTGGTCTGGTCTGGTCTGGTTTGGTCTAGTCTGGTTTGGTCTGGTCTGGTCTGGTTTGGTCTGGTCTAGTTTGGTTTGGTTTGGTCTGGTCTGGTTTGGTCTGGTTTGGTTTGGTTTGGTCTGGTCTGGTCTGGTTTGGTCTGGTTTGGTTTGGTCTGGTTTGGTCTGGTCTGGTCTGGTTTGGTTTGGTCTGGTCTGGTTTGGTTTGGTTTCGTCTAGTCTGGTCTGGTTTGGGCTAGTCTGGTTTGGTTTGGTCTGGTGTGGTCTAGTCTGGTCTGGTGTGGTGTGGTCTGGTTTGGTTTGGTTTGGTTTGGTCTAGTCTGGTTTGGTCTGGTCTGGTTTGGTTTGGTCTGGTTTGGTTTGGTTTGGTCTAGTCTGGTTTGGTCTGGTCTGGTCTGGTCTGGTTTGGTCTGGTTTGGTTTGGTTTGGTGTGGTCTGGTCTGGTCTGGTAAATCATATGATCATCTTCTTGCTGTGGGTCGGCCCGACTCGGATCAGAACTTCATTCTGGGTCGTTGACTTTGTTACCGTTGGTAGCTGGTTGCCGCCTTCTGGACCTGGATGGTTTTCCACTGAGAGGAAACCTTCAGGTAGAACCAGAACTCTCCTGATGTACCCGTTACCATGGCAACCCAATCTGATACGCTGGTTTAGGAGAAACCCTGGAGGTGCAACCAGCCTGGTGTCACAGTGAGGGGAGGAAAAGGTCTGACTTCAGCTCTCCTGAAGTCACTGAAAATCGTTTCTGATTTTCAGTGACTGCCTCATGTTTTCATCCCCGTCGTTCTTCACTTTTCACCAAGATGAATGTTTCATTTCTGAATGTTTTATTTCTGAATGTTTTATTTCTGAATGTTTCATTTCTGAATGTTTCATTTCTGTTTGCTCTGACAGATACTGTGACGACAGCTTCCTGTGGTACGAGGAGCACACGTTCGAGGTGTGCCGAAGAGTCAAGAGAGTTTCCTTCTCCAGAAGTAAGTGACTGTAGATCCGAGGCGAAAAACTGAAAACGACGTTTCACAGAAACTAAACGGTCAGAAAATGAACCATTTGATTGGTTCGTTCTCCACCTGCGCTGAGACAAACATGGAGTTAGTACCTCAAAAATGGCACAGCATTTAAAAAAAACCTTAAAATGTTTCTTGTATATATTTATTAAGACGTTTTTGGCAACATGAGAAGAATCTGAAACACGTTCTGCAGCCGAGGCGCCTTGACGAACATTTAAGACCAGTTCCTGTCGCCTCCATCTGATTTTTGGTTCTGCGAATAAATAGATACTGAGCCTTTTCTGTAGGGCCTCTGACCTCAGAGGCTTTAAAGCTTTTTATTTATTTGTGCAGAATGTTTTTGAAGCCGCATCCCATATTTGTTCATTAGACATTATTACTAATTATTTAATATTTCATAACATCAAGACAGGATATAACTGTTGGTTTGTGGAGTTTTTAGTTTATCCTTTATATTTTAATGGAAATGATGTAAATCCATCTGTAAAAAGTGTAAAATAAATAAAGTTACATCTACAGAGAGTCCCTTTAAACCTCTGAGGGGTTTTCTCATTAAGCACTAATGAACACAGACGAATCAGTGGTGTTACTATGGCAACCTGGATCTTCATTAAACGTTTAGGTGTTTAGGATCAAAGTTTCTCTTGATCTTTGTCTGACGCAGCAGAAGGAGGTCTGACTGCAGGTCCATCATCGTGTTTCCGTCGGTTCCTGTTCCAACACAAAGCTCTGAAGTTCTTCCTCTGGTGTCGGGTTCCCGGCTGTAACCTTCTCGGTTCTCCTCCTCCCTCCACAGATCTGAAACAGAGATGCTTGTCTAAGATGTGCAACAAACTGTGACCCGCCAGGAAGCGGCGGAAACAAAGAGCCGTTCATCTTCCAACAACAGCTGGAAGCTGCTGGTGATTCACAAAACATGCAGTTTGCACCTTTTATCTGGATATTAATCACTAATCTGCCATGCAAAATATAAAGTTTATTTAAGAGAAGAAACTAGTTTTAAAACATTAGTCTTTATTGGTTGCCTCTGTTTACAGTTTGTTTTAATCCGACCTGCAATGAAAACATCAGGTTGATGAACGTAAACTTTAATCCATGTGACTTTTAAATATTTGATTTGTTCTTCATGTTTAAAAAGTAAATGGCTGTTTAATGTCATGAAGAAGAAACATGACGCCATGACGAATAATCTCAGTTTTTTACCCTGAATGTGACGAACATCCTGCATAATTCAGCTGGAAAACAAACAAATTTCAGAAGAAAACGAGGTTTCCGTTAAGGATTTGTAGTGTGAGCGTCTCGTCTATTTATTACTCCTCATGCTGCAGGTTCATCAGATCCAGTGTTTTCAGAGTTCGGAGGATTTTACCCATAAAAGACAGAAACGTTTATCTGTAGAAAACAAGCAGAGAAACTGGTTTTCGTTCTGGCGGTCAGGAAGTCGCTGTGCTTGAGTTTTGGTTTGCATGTCGATAATTTGGCTTTTAATTCATGAAAGATGCTTGTTTACTAACATTTCTACAGTCTTATTAAAGTATTTAAAATATTTCAAACTGTTTGATCGGCTTTTTTTAAAGATTTCCACAAGTTAAATGAAGTAAACGCCATGTTGATCGTTCCTCTGGGACGTTTTTAATAATTTCTTATCTTTAGATGTTTTTTAGATCTGTGGTGAATTTGAGTTTTATTTTATCTGGAGTCATTTTTATGGAAAAGCTGCTTCTTTTAAGCCTTTTCTCTTAGAAATCTTTATTAAATAAAAATCCTGACTTTCTGTTGGGGACAAAAGCTCTTCAGAACATTTTTCATGCTTTATGAGGTCAGAACTCTGTGGCTCTTCGTCCAGTTTGGGAATTTAAGGCTTTATTTATTCAGGAAGCAGAGCTGGTAGCAAGTTTTTAAGGTTTTTATCTCAAAAGGAGTAAAATTATTCCTGCACACGTCGAGGGAAGTGAGGAACAAATCTGGATCTTAACTGTTTTCTAGAACAATATTCCCAAAGAGCCGTTTCCAAAACCGCCTCAGTTCATCCTTGCTTGTGTGAAGACCTCCTTCAGGAGATGACAGAGACGTCTGTCTCTTCTAGTCTTCCTAGAATGAACAAACCTCCATTCAGACCTGATCCAAACTTTGAGTCTTGGTTTTTCTTCGTTGCTCAGTTTTCATCCAGCAGCTCTGAGGGAATCGTTGGAACTAAAAGTTCATTATTTCTCTCATCCAAACATTTATTTTTACCTGTTTTCATAGATTGAATTAAATAACGATAAATGTAAATAAAGCCGTAGATCTTTTGATGTTGGAGACGTTTTTACTTCGGATCTTAGAAACGGGTCAGATATTCATGAAAAGCCTTCAGATGTTCTGTCACACCTGGATCCTCTCACCTGTCCGACTCAAAGCTTCCTATTGGCCTGCTGCTCCGGCGGGCCGGCCCCTCCCTCCTGTTTGCACTCATTGATCCGAAGTCCCGGGAGGATCAGATGAGACCCGTTTGATCCTCCCGGGTTGCAGATCCAGAACCCTGCTGGACAAAGGCGGCTCTGTGGATCCCCCTGCCGGACCCGCCTGCATTTATAAAAAACCCTGACATACCTGCACGGGAACCGGACCGGGATAAGCTTCTGCTCAGGTGTCACCCGATAGCCGGTAAGAGCTGGAGGCTCTTTCCTCCTCCTCTTCCTCCTCCTCCTCCTCCTCCTCAGGTCGGAGTGATAAACAGCTACAGAAGCTGAGGATTCATTCTGCTGGGAACAGAACCTGACCCACTTTGGCTGGAGGCAGCAGAGCGAAGGAACAAACTCCAACGTCTGGAACACAAATAAGGTTAGACCTTACAGTTTGTTTGACAGATGCATTAAATGGATGTTAATATTTGTTGTTTTCCTGCTAAATAAAAATGTTCTGTGAATATTCAGGCTGATATTTAACAATAAGTTGATTTTTAGCTGAAGGAAGTTCCTGCAGATCCTCTCTGGATGTTTCTGTCCTTGGAGTCGTTTGGAGGTCGACTGAAAAACAGGCAGGCGAGGTCGAGTCAGGGCAGCTGGAAGAAAACAAACCAATGAACAAAACTACAGGAGAACTTCAGGGTGAAGATAGAAGAGGTCTCCAGAAGTCTAGAGTTTATTCTTCCTCATGTTGGATGTTAACTCTGGGACCAAATCCTGGAGGCCGACCCATCGAGAGTCGATCAGTTTGTTCATTTTTCAAAACTTTTCTCTGGGTTTTCAGTCGGACTGATTCAGTTTCTCACCAAATTGCTCCTGGATGCCAGAAAAGTTGCTCTTTGTTTCCAGTTTTGATCCTTTGCTGCTGGAAGCTCTCAGCTTTTCTTCTCCATGTGTTGGAGACAGTCAGGAGAAACGGCGCCACCAGGCCTCCGCTCTCCGTCCTGGTTCTTCTGTTCCAGTCAGTCATGGTTTCCTTGGACAGAAGTGGTTTCTTTACTTCCCTTTCTTCACCTGCTGCCATTGTTGAGGAAGCTCTGCACTGGTGGCAACATGATTTTATTGGAGTTTACTACATGAAAAATCCCTCAAAGTCCAAACATGAATTTCTTTAAATTCTTCTAAACACGTCTTTGAGTTTAGTTTGTGTTTGATTTTTGCCATCTTGCCTTAAATCAGCTTATTTGCTCCTGTTTAGATGTAAAATCTGGATTAAATCACAGTGCAGGGCTGTGCATGCAGGTCCAGCTCAACCTCAGCAGTCATCACTCCTCCACCACCGTGCTTGGCTGTTGGTATCAGACGTTTGTGCCGAAATGTCCAAAATACAAACCCGTCGGATCGTTTCATGATTAGCATTTAGCATGCTAACAGGCTGTCGTATAATCTTGTTTGATAATCTGCGGCGGTAAAGCCGGAGCTCCTGCCTCAGCAGGCCGCTGTCTCCATTAACACGGAGGCTCAGGCTCTTCAGCTGACATTAGAGATAAAGTGTAGCAGCGAGGCAGTGATATCGCTTCCCGCTGCAGGTGAAACCCAGCCGGCTCTGTGAAGCATCATCAACCCACTTGTTGGTGTGGTGGAGCAGAGCCACAGGTGGGCTGAGCGGTTTGGAGCCATTAACCGCTGATGCAGCGGGCGCTGAAGGTCTCGTCTGGCGCAGCAGCAATAATCATTATGGTGATGGGGGGTAATTTATGGAGCTGGTGTGAGATGCTGGAGTAAATGCAGGTCTCTGTTACAGCCGATGTTCCCTCCTCCTCCCTGATGGCTGTGATGAAGCCGACTATGATCGGCTGGCTTCATGTTCTCTCTGCACCAAATTAAAACATTAAAGGAAACAAACTGCAGCAGGAATTTATGTAAAACTGAACAACAGTCAAACTGAAACATGGCAGAAATCTGAATCACTTCCTGAAGCAAAAACAGATCTGATCCTGTGGAGGGTGAAATGTGATGTCATTGACACATGGAGGGCATCAACATGGCCGAATTTAATGCTTTAGTGTTTTTGATATGACATTTTATCATTAGCTGCTGCTACATGCTGTGTTGGTAGCATTTAGCATTAGCTTCTACAAAATAGCTTGTTGGTATTCTGTTTTAGCATTAACTTCTGTTAAAAACCTTGTTATTCTAACACTAGAAGTGTTTAGGGATTCATTATATATCGACATCAGCGCGGATGTGACGGTGTTTGGGGTCAGAGTTGGTGGCTGTGGGGTCACCATGAGCTAACCGCCGCCTTAAAGGGCCGGTGCGGATCGCAGCTCTGAATCTGTCATTTTTCTCCAATAAAAGCTTCATAGTTTTCATCTGGAGGCTTCCTCCATCTGTTCTTGTTTTATTGTGGCTCTAATGTTTTTTGCAATCAGATTTTCTCTGCAGGATCTCATCATGCTTCTGCTGTGGATCTTCATGCTGCCGGCTGCTTCCTGCAGTGAGTTTCACCCAATCACTGAGCTCTAGGCAGGCTGCTCCCTCTCTGCCCTCATGCTTTCCTTTATTTGTGTAATTACACTAATCACACAATGATTAATCAATTAACTGCTGATGTGTTAAATGTTGCATGCATGAATTAAATCTCCTCTTTTTTCTGCAGCGCTCTCCGGCAGCTCCGTGTTCTGTCCGGACCCAGAGGGCAGCAGCCGAGACGCAGGTCATGTAATTGGTGAGAAACATCCTTTATTATTGTTGTTTTATTTTTTATCTGGAACAATAAACTTCAGGCATGTTAACGGTCACCACACAAGCTGCTTGAATTAATCCTAATGAACCAGAGGAGCTGAAGGTTCAGCGGGTCGAGAGGATGAATCAACGAGCCGAACCGGATCACAGCCTGCAGGGAGGAACGTTTCCTTCAGGGACTTTCATCTTTACTTTAATTACTTTAATTAGCTGTTATTTACTCAAGCAAAAAAACTATTTTGAACAGAAAGGAGCACATTTTAGAACGATAATCAGTTCCTAAACTTTCTCTCTCTCTTTAAAAACAGCCTCAAAAATTATTGGCACCATGTGAAACATAATAAGCATCAGAGTAAACTAATGTTTAAGAAAATGTTCTGTTAACTCGTTTGGATCATTATTCTGCTGAATAACGACTCATTTTCAGTTTTTCTGTCAGAAATGATTCTTATTTAAAATCTGAACTCATGCAGTCTGATGAGGCAGAGCAACAGTCCCACAGCATCACTCCTCCTCCACCGTACTGAGCAACTTGTTTCACAGCAGACCCACCGGGAGAGTTTGATGCTGAAAAGCCTCAGTGGACGTTCGCCTGGTTTCTGTTTGTTTTCCCAAATTATTCGCAGAAAATCAACTGTTTTTTTTTTTTTTTCATAGAGCCTGGGAAGCTGAAATACTTTAGTTTAATGTTTAATGACACATTATTGGTTGGTGTTTACAAAGCAGCCAATCCAGAGGCTGAATTTATTTTCCTGATTGGCTGATGCCAGTTTGAAGATCTCATGTCATATTTATGATCCAGAGAATCAGAAAGTCGTAGATTACTGATTTAAAAGTTTGAGACATTTTTCTCTGTTAGTAAAGAAAAGTTTTCAAACTGTTTAGTTTATTTTGATAGCACTTGTTGATGCCAATAAATTTGTCTTCAGTGATTTTTGAATCCCTCTGAATAAATGCTACATCAGATGACGGTAAGGAGTGACCGATGCTGCCAGCAGGAGATGTTTCATATGATGAAACGTTACAAAACACGCAAAAATCTGCTTTAATTATGACACAAAAAGATGATTTAAAGCCCTCTTTAAGTAATATTAACATTTAAACCAAAGTTGTGCAGCTGTGAGAAAACAAAGCTACTGATTATTACAAAATGATTGATTTTAGATTAATTTTTTGAGACTGAGTGTAATAATCATACATGAACTCTCCTCTGGAAACCTGCAGCTTGGTTTCGATCTGCTGAAGCTTGGTTTCGATTTGACCAGCTCCATCTTCTCCTTCCTCCATCAGACTGTCTGGGTCTGCGCTTCGTCTGGCTCCACGCCGTCTTCGATAACTTCCCCTCGCTGCTGAGCTTCGTGTCCAGGCTGCGGTGTGCATCAGGGCTGTGTCCGCGGGACCTGGAGGACTACGGCTGCTCCTGCAGACATGTGGCGTCTGGGAACCCGGTGGATCCTCTGGACACGTAAACGAAGCCCAGATCCTCATCTCATTGATTAGAGGAGAATCTGTAAACTTTGATGCTCATCTGAACAGATTTTAAGTAGAAGAAGAATTTGGAACAATGATTAGATTTACATTGACTTCTGTAAATTTGATTTTCTTTAGAAACAGAGCTGGATAGTAACCAGTTATATTTACTTGAGTAACTTTTTT